TATTTGTCGTGGGACTTGCTGTAATCGTTTGTGTATGTATGTATGTATGTATGTGTAGATACTAGATGGATGCTGTATCAATACCTTTCCCTTTTTTTATCTCTCTCTCTCTCTTTCTCTCTCTCACACACACATTAGCATATACCTTCAGGTTCGTCTTCTATACAGTTATGTTTTATGTTACTGCAAGGACTGGCAATGTGGCTGGAGACTGATTGAGGGGACTGATTGAGTATGATAAGGATTGGAATTGATCATGGAGATACCTGATACCTGTTGCAACTTGCTTTTACTGCAGAGGGGTTGTTGGGGGTGTTAGAATACTTCGATGTGGTAGCAATCCTCTGATTGGAAGAAATACGATGAAAACAGATGGACTACTTGACTAGATGGTTAGGTGATTTCAGTTCCATACTTGCAAGAAATGTAGACGAAATATAAGAAAGTATTCGAGTCCTTGTTAGCAGTGATGGAGAGCTGAAAATGGGTTTAACGCATACCTTTATCACCCCTGAATAGCATTTGAAAATAGATATGCCGTTGGTCCATTGAAGCAGGATAGTTAGGAGCTGCAAATCTGAGATTATAGATCCCGCACTTTGTCATCAGAAAGATCGGGTTGTTTGTATGCGGATAGATACACAATAGCATGTAGATCAGACCAAAAACATCGATTTCAAAAGTGCGGGGAATTTAACATTCCGGAGATCAGTTGATCTCAAAATTTCATAGCTAGGTATGCTCGTTGAAGAACAGAGAGGAAGTTTATTTGTCTCTGTTGTTTCAGATAGATGTGAAGAGGTACATCGCCGAGAGGAAAGTCTAGAACGTTGAAATGAAAATCGCATACTCGTACTCCGTACGGCCAGACGGTATGCATTCCGAGACCAGATCACCAATGCACATGCCACAAAATGATAATCTACGAGAGGACGGACGAATCCGCTTTTCGGAGTCTGGGTGGCCGAGTGGCGTTACGCATCTTCTGACAGCACGCGGCACGAATACTAGATGGAATACCGAGAGCTTGGTTTGCTTCGTGGAATGACCCACGCTGCCATCCACACATGCATGCATACATGGAATGGAATGCTGATGGAATGAATCCACCGCGTGAAAGGAGTCTAGAGTTTGTAACATGTTATTCATGTTTGCCGCAGGAAAGGGCGAAATGTGCAAGCAAGTACGAGCGGAATAGCAGATCCCGCAAAGTGTCACATATATTGTATTGTAGTCATCAGAAGTACACCGACGATCCCCATCTCGACTCCAAACTCTAAGACCAAACTCTATTGGAAATATCGGTAGTCATTGGCGGAGAGATGGGAAAATCAACCAGGCGCCGGAAAGTAAGAACGAAAGAGGTAAAATGTCGACCGAAATAAGAATTCTTCCAAACTGCCCAAAGGAGAAGAAATGTGGAAACTCATTAGCTGTAAGCGCTGGAGCGGCTCGAGAGCGGTTGCGGGAATATAATCATGTAATCATGTAATCATGCAATCATGTAATCATATAATCATATAATCACACTAACTAGGGATAATGTATAATAATAAATTAGAAATACCTCGATTGCCGTCTTTACCAATAGGATGTCACCCCCTTTTTTTCCAAGTTTGTAGGATTTTACCGGCTTGGTGCCGTCTTGAGTACGTACCTCGTGCACATCTACTAGTTAAGATACATAGCATAGTCAGGAAGGAACCCAGTCAAGACACTTCCAGTACCAGGAGCCAGTATGTACCTCCTTCCACTCTTGCTCTTTTCTCCCAAGGATTCAATTAAGGTTCATAATGTCGAACCATTTTCCTTGCAAATAAACGGTTTTGATGTGGTTGGGTTGCGTTGTTGGTCCTTATTGAAAGTCTCGACTCTCGAACAATGTCCGCTTCCATTACTGCCTGACCTGACCTCGAACCCAGCGGGATGAATCATGAATGGATAGACAGAATAATCACCATCACCATCACCATCACCATCACAACATCAACATCAACATCAACCAAATCTTCAAAGCCCCCAAGCTCCCAGGTAAGCTTACGAATACACGGGTAAGCCCTCCACCGGCGATCTTCACTGGTCGGTATCCATTCTGGTAAAGGAATATGCTTGTGCAGAATAATACGGAGGCGAGGATTCCAAGTTTTAGTAGCCCCGCAGAATTTGCCAGCATTGCTATGATCAATATGTTGTCGAAGTGCCTCCTTGCTTCAACCGTTAGACGCCCTTAGTTTAACTAACATTCTTCCCTTTGGATCTGATTCTTTTCCTTCTCCCACAACTCTCCTCCGTTTGCTGCAATTTCGTTGGTGCGTCAAAAGGCCACGAAAATCTTGCGCATGTAGCTCTCACCATGTTGGTGTCTTACACAACGCTGCTGTTCAGAGAGGATGACCACCACCAACAAAAATATACAACCAGACGTGCGCTTTCCTAGAAGCGACGATAAGAACAATGCTACTATTCGGAGTAGCGAGATTTTACCCATTCGTCGAATGATCGCGGGAGAGAAATCTAAAAATCCAGCTCTACAGAAGAAGGAAATCAAGTTTCGTGCCAGATTACCCAAGGTCAAGACAGGATGTCAAAATTGCAAGTAGGTGCTAGCCTTTTATTATTATCATCACCTTTGTATCATAACTAATACACATGAAGGATCCGAAGAATTAAGTGCGACGAAAAACTGCCCGGCTGCTCTCGCTGTTTTAAATTCGGAATTTTGTGTAGTGGATATCCGAAACAACCGGAGAAGATCAAACCAAATTCCCGTCAAATCGTGCCCATTTTACCCAAGGGGACGATTTCGGATATTGCACAAGGATCCATAATTGAATTGTACCTTGGACCTCGATTTACGGAAGAGCTTGAGGGTAGGTATTTTAAACACTTTTGTGAGAATGTGGCGGCAGGATTAGCAGGCCCACTTCAAACGAGTGTTTGGTCCGAGATCATTCCTCAGGTGTGTGAAATCGAGCCATATATTGCACATGGCTTAGTAGCACTGGGTGCTTTCAGCAAGTATAGCAAGGAGATGGTCCAAGGGGGTGAATCGTCAGATACCAAAAAGCACCTGGAATACGCTTTGCGAGAGTATGGAAAAAGTCTACGAGGTATGCAGAAAGCAATTGATGGAAACGTGAGCCGGAGTCCAAGAACAGCTTTGATTGCGTGTATGATAGTTTTTTGTATCGAAAGTCTACAAGGACATCAAGCATCCGCTTCTATACACGCAACCAATGGTATCATGATGCTCTACGATTACTATCAATCTTCAGCAACCGGCACCAAATTCACAAAAGAGAACGTCATCGGACCTGAACTTCGGCGAGCTTTCACGGATTTAGACTTACAAGTTTTGCACTTCCTTGATATTCGTCCGCCAGCTCACCACGTTATCATCAAGGAGCAGCTCAATCGATACCATCTCCACGGAGCCCAAGTCCCAACTTTTCAGAACATCAAGGATTCTTACGAGTATTTACAAATGATCATGAGAAGGAACCTTCATTTCATCGATATAGCCAGGAAATTACTTTTGGAGACTGACTTTCAAGAGCAATCCACAACCTTTTCACCCAAAGATTGGGAAGGAGCTGCAGATTTACGCCAAAATAACAATCCATGGACTCAGCTAGAGCCACGCGCCTCTCATTCTTCACCTGCGGCATCATGCGATACTCATCCGTGCGGTAAAATCTATGGGGAGGAGGAATCTGCCGCGATGCCTCAAGAATCTCTGAATCCGACCAATTCCGGCGTCGAAGGTGGCTTCGCGGATCCCTGTATGGATTATGTAGCTGCGGCCCGTTTTCCACCCGAAATTCTACGAGAACGCGATATCTATCTGGCAGATCTGATGCATTGGGAAAAAGCGTCTGAATCTATTCTTCAGAAATGTCTCGCATCTCCTCACCACTCGCAAGAATTTCGGACGGCGGCTCTCCTTAAAACTCACGCCGCCGCTAGTGCCATTCGTCTCCACGGCTCCTTTTTCATCGATGAAATTCAATACGATCAACTTACGCATTATTTCCAAACTATTATTACTTATTGTACATACCTCCATCCTTATTACAGTACCTCATCCTACCACACAAATCTGGGGATCTTAATGCCGCTCTTCGAAGTCGGTACGCATTGTCGAGCGAAGATATTGAGAGATCAAGCAATCGCAATGTCGTTTGTGAGTAAAGAATATAGAGAGGGGGTATGGGATAGTTATGTCGGCGGATTCATCTGTAAATGGATTCGAGATCTTGAGGAACCGTGGCGAGATGAAAAGGGACATATTCCTGCGGATAGAAGAGCGAAGATTGCGGGATTGAATGTGGTGGTTGAGAAGAGGAGGGCGCAAATGTTTTGTTCGCAGCGGATTGGCGTGGGGAGGGAAAGTGTGACGAAAGATATTATTGTTACTTGGTGATGGATGGGTTTAAGGGGTAGGGGTAGGGGTAGGGCGCGAAAGGAGGGAAAGGAGGGGAAAAGGATTTGCATAAGAATCTTGGATCGAGGGTATATTGTCCGGGATTGGATTGGATGGGATTGGAATGAATGGTCGTATGTAATGTAATGTATTCATTGGGGAATGATGGGGAGTGTGTGTATATATGTTATATATAGTATATATAGTATAGTATACTAGGTAGTATAGTATGATATGATGTAATATTAGAATCAAAAGAATCCCAAGTCAAGTCAAGTCAAGTCATTCCTTACCTTCAATAAGCGATATTCGATTCGATTCAATTTCATATTATATTTTTATCTCGTACGCTTAGCGATATAAATGAGAATGTACGGAGTACAGCTGGAAGAGCACCAAGGAGAAATAGTCGTTTCGATTATCGAGATAATAGGTTACATTCACATGTAAGATTACATGCACATGCACATGCATAGGTACATACATACATACAAATCTCAGAGAGAGATACGTATTTTACCATTTCCGCACAAAACACGTAGACAAATTGGGTATCATTCCATTGCACTATAACAAATTACTCCATGCCCTTGAACTTCAAGATTCCATTTTCAACCGGTCCTTTCTTTCCCCTCTTCTTCTTCTTGCGTTTCTTGCGTCCGCCATCTTCCTCATCGCTGCTGTCTGCCTTGGCATCACTATCATCGCTGTCTTTTTCCAATGCGCGCTTTCCACCATCACCCACGATATCGTCATTATCCTCCATATCTTCTTGCTCTTCTTCTCCCTCTTCTTCATCTTCCTCGACCCTTTCGTTCCAAACTTTAACCGTATCTCCACCTCCAGAAATCAGTCTTCCTCCAACATCAAATCCCACCGCGACAACCGCCTCAATATCATCATGTTTCATATCCTCCACTACCCCCTTCGTCCCCCCAACCCTTACAATCCTCACACTCCCATCTCCACATCCAACCACCACACATTTCCCACCATATCCACCCTCCAAATCCTCCGGCATCGCAATCATAGCATCCAGACTCTCGCCGCCCGCCTTTCCACCCCCATCCACAATAATCCTCTCGCTCTGATCATCCCAAACTCCCTTTTCCCAAAGCGTAATAACCCCATTTCCATTCCCCACACAAACTTTTTCTCTCCCGTGTTTTCCCCTCGCAGGTAACCCGCTCACAAAAACACTACTCAGTAACTCCTCTTCCTGGTCCTCACTTTTGACGAGCACTCCTCTCCTGAGATCCGTAACCGCCAATGTAGTTCCTCCCGTCGTGATCCACTGTTTACTAAACCCGCTCGTGCTCATTTCTGTAGGTGGGAGCGGTGATAAACTAGATATGTAGTCATCGTGTGGATAATGTGTCTGAGCCGGTTTACCAGATTTGAAAGACGAATTGTCGCGGAGATCGTAGAGATGGAGAGCGCAGGAATCGGTGGCTAGGAGGAGAGTTTGAGGGGAGAGGGCGTGGAGAAGGGTGGGAGGATCGAGTTTATCGGTGTTGGTATTGGGGATGAGGATTTTGGAGATGACCTGGCCGGTGGAAGATGCGGCGGCTTTCAGGAGGGAATCAGTGCCGGCGGAGTAGAGAACTGGGGTTGGATGTTAGTATGTGGCAATTGAATAGTAGAATTTTGATTAGTTTGCAGATGTAAGATGAGATTTCAATCAAACAAATGCATGAGAAGAAAATGGAAAACAAACCTTCACCATCATGACTATACCCCAATGTCCTGCAACTTCCCTTGTGTCTCCTAGTTCTCCATTCCGTGTCAATAGTACTAGTTCCCGTGCTTACCACACTCGTATCTCCATCTTCATCCTCAGCAGAAGCTCCAGTAGGCGGTAATCGATAACTTTGTACATGACCAGACGAAAGACCAACTGAGAGAACAGGTTCGGTAGGATGTAGAGCTTGGGCGAAGAGCTCGGAGCTGAGAGGTAAAGAACAGAGGTTTTCAAACATGGTGGTTAGATGTTGATATGATTCGGAGAGGACTATAACATTATCTCATTGAGATTGCATCAATTTCGGATTCAATTGGAAGAGTTGGAGGAGCAATTGATTAAAACTTTCTTTTTCATGAAAGAGAAATTTTGACGAGGCTGGGGACGGGAAGGCTACACTTTTGCGGAACGGGACAGGGCTCACCGGGAACTAAGGCAGGCTGGCCGGCACCTTGCAGCTATCTAATCTGTAGCTTCTTTTGCTCTTTGATCAAACATACTTACATCATGCAGCTCACAGAATTCATTATCTAACAAACTATTCCCATTCTCCATTATTGAAATACACCTCCTCAATAAAGTAACATACTTTGCCAAACTATGAAGCTCTCTAAACCACCTACTCAACCTCCACCCATTTCACACCCACCAATTCCGGTTTCTTCATCTGTAACAACAAGACAATCTCACTATCCCAAACACTCTTCTCCGCTCTCTTCCTTGCCTCTTCAACACTCTCTCCCTTTTCAGGAACCACCTCAATGCGATGCTTCCTAAACAACGAAACCATCGTCGCCACAAATTCCACCTGCCCAAATTTTTTCCCCGGACACGCGCGTGCTCCTTCCGACCAAGGAACATACGTACCTTTCTGTGGCGAGAAGAGAAATTCTTCTTCTGGTGTTGACTTGGGAGTTGTCGATTCATTTGGAAGATCTTCCTCTTGAATTCGAGTTTCGGAGTCGGATTTCTTACTGAGAATCCATCGATTAGGACGCCAGATAAGTGCATCAGAACCCCAATACTTCGGATGCGAGTGCATTGCGTTGATATTAGGTATCACGCGCGTATTTGATGGGATGACGATGGTTTTTCCATTGAGTGTAAGAGGTTGCGGTTCCGCACCTGTTGATTTAGCGATTCCTATTAGGGGGTTTAAGAGCCGAAGAGTTTCGAGCTGGAGTTTCTTTTAGTTTCTTTCCATCAATGTATGGATGGTGAAAGCAGGACGTACCAGAACTGCTAGACAGCGATTCAATTTCGGATAATACTCTTGATATTTCGATTGAGTATCATCATTGATAACCACAGCATGTATCTCCTCGCGCAACCATTCCTGAACTTCTGGATTGGCAGCAAGGAGATACAAAGCCCAATTCATCGTGATGGCCATAGTATCATGTCCAGCAAAATTATACACAAATATATTGCCATACACCTCATCCTGTGTTAATCCTCTTCCACCCATACCCTTATCTCCCGTCAACTCAATCATTTCATCAGACGCCATGATTAGCGAATTAATGAGATTCCGATTCCCAGATGTTCCTTGATGTATAACTTCTTTCTCCTCTCTTACCATCGTCTCCATATGATCCCTGAAATCCACACAAGCTTGACCCAAACGACTAAACCTCTTCAGCAACCATTTGTTGCTGAGAAACTTCGGCCCAAAAACTAGAATCATCAAAGCATTTTCTAAAATCAAAGCCAACGAATCCCGATAATTAAACATATGCCCCTTCTTAGGAGATTCCGCCGCCTTTGTAAATGAATACGGTTTACCAAACCCAGCGCCCGATAACACATGAAGAGACAGCGTTCTCGTATCTTTATGAATGCGACGGATGGGTGCTGGTAGCGTTTTCCAGTATTCTAGTACTTCGTTTGCTTGGGTTAGTGCATGAATCCATACCGTGCTACTATTTTGTTCGTTGAACTGTGCGCCGGTGACTTTGCGTTGGCGTTGCCAGTCTGCTCCGCTGGCCTGGATGGATGTTAGTGGATAGCTCATGGACAATGATAGATACGATTATAGTAATGATACGAATATACGTACGGTAGAAATATTAGGACCAAAAACATCCAACATCGCTACAACCGCAAACATCAAATTAGTCAAAACTCCCTCTCCCTATGGAAACCCCCAAAACAAAAACCCACCCAACATCTCCGCCGGCCTCGGAAACCCCTCTCGCTTCCGAAAAATCTCCACAAACGCCTCCTTCTCACAAACATAAACCCAGTTAAACCCCGGCGTCACAAGCACAACCGCATCTCCCTTCTCTCTATGCACACGATACTTGACGTAGTATTCCCAGCCCAGTTTGCCATAGCGCGTGATATCGCATTCGCCGTATAGGAGACGGATGAGAGGGAGGATGAAGCGCTGCGTGAGGACCCAGAGGGGGTTGTCCGGGCTAGAGGGGAGGATTATGAGGGGGAGCTGGGTTTGCAGCGCGGTTTGGTAGTTGTGGTAGAGGTGGTAGGTGGTGTAGAGGATCCAGGATAGGGGGAAGAGAAGGAGGAGAAGGAGGGTGTGCATGGTTTTGGGGGTAGAAGGAGAGGGGAGGTATTAGATTCAGAAGAATAGGATGAGATGGGTATTTTGTGCTCTTATCGCAATTCTGTAATGGAAAGAAAAGGTGGAAAGAGAAGGGAAATCCGAATTGAACGCTGGTTTTATTGCATGCAAGAACCAACAGCGCCATGTGTTGGTAAACATGTTGGAAACGGCACCAATAACCACTAGCTTCCGGATTTCACAATTTTGCGGCATAAATGTCGATGCAGAGCATGATTGTTTCACTCGATTGAGTATGTATGTCGTGGAAGCCTCGAAACTGTTTGAGTCAAGGTCAAGGTAAAGGTCCCTTAAACGACACTTGATTTTTGTTGAAGATTTCAATCTTCAATCAGGGACAGAACAAATTTGAAACCCGACACCTGTAATACCTTGATGATAACAAGAAAGCTATACTATAGCCAGAAAGATGCCTAACACGATCACGATCGTCAATAATAAAGTACATATTAAACAAATCTATATTGCTAAAATCATCATCGTTCATTCATTTATACCCTGTGGCTTGATTACATCAAGCTAGTCTCTTGCTACCCCCAAAACAGCAACCCTCCATCCTATTTTGATCTTGCACAAGCTAATGACAATATTTACTTGATTGTCAAAACAACACCTAGCCAATGATGAGAAGTATGGTCAAGCAGCAAAGCATGTTCCTCAACCAATGCGTGCAATTACAAACAAAATTGCATTTCCCAACCTAAACTCCCATTCATGTTCATAAATCATTCAAATTCGACCTCACAATCCACCATCAAATCTTTTAGCAAGTGGACTTCCCACCTTTGGTGCCCACTGCAAACTCTTCCTCCTAGCTGCCATCAATCTCATCATGACACTCTGATCTTTTTCCTTCCTCAAGAAACCCATGCCGTCTCCCGAGTTTCCACTTCCACTGCTCTCATCCTCGTCAAAGTTCACAAACTTCTTATTTCCACCTGGAGCTGTCATCTGCACCAATTTATCCTTCTTGAAATAATAAGGCGTTTGGGCACCTGGAGTTTCAGCACCCCACAATCCTTCTTCCGCATATGCACTGATTGTTTCCGGGGCAGGTGTAGCGGGAACAGGGCTTAACATCCAATTGTCGTCACCCAATTCATCTACTTCACCATCTTCATTGGAAATAGGTGACTTTTGCCACTGTGTTGATTCTCTTCTCTTAGATTTGAGGGTCATTGGTGTGGTATCCGGATAGGTCAAGGTTGAATACGTAGATTTTGCAGGTACAGTTGATGGAACGAGGGTACCATTGAGATTAGCAAGTGCACGAGGTTCCATACTCTTGCGACGACGTGCACCTCCTCGAGGAACCATGGCTGTATCAACTGCATAAGAAGCTTCATCGAGCCATTGGTTTTCACGTTCACAACTATTGATCTTGTTAGCGAACTGGTACAAAATAAGGCGTGCCACCCAAAAAGAACTAAAAAAAACTCACTCTAAAACCCAACCAACACCAACACAAGAAACTACTCCTCCAGTTTGTTTAGCTTTCTCGAGTGTCCTCTTTCCACCATCTTTGAAAACAATATGCGTGATTCCAATTTTGCTTTTGTCATCGCTGTTTGGATTCCATGTCCATGTCTTGACACATTTGGCGCCCATTTGTGTAAGCAATTCGGTGAATAAACCACTAGCATCAGCGCCTTCAGTGGTATGTACATCAACAAAGACTACTGCTCCCTTCAAAAGTGCTGTGTTGAGATCCGGACGTGGTGTACGGGCTGGTGTGGCAACTGTGGACCAAGTAAAAGTCTCTGATTTGATAGGAGTAGCAAATTGCTGGCTATCTGCACTCTCCGTGGATTCTTCTTCTTGTTGAGATTTAGGTGCACTCTTGGATGGCGAGTATGAGATCACGGTATTGTTACGAGATAACGAGCTAGATGGGCGTACAGCTGGAAGTTTCGAACTACTAGCGCTTCTCTTCGCTTGTGATGGCCGCATTGGAGTTTCATGAGCACCTTTGAGTGGCACTTTTGCGACGGTATGGAATGTTCTCTCGGTCAAAACACGCTTGGGGGTCGTGAAAGCTGAAGCTGAAGCTGCTGGTGCAGTTGGTGATTGAGGCGCAGGAGCCAAAAGTGCGGGATCGATTAACATTTCATTTTCATCCCCATATTCTTGGCTAGCGTCTGAAGGACTAGGCTCTCGCTCAGGTATAGGCTCTTCAAGCTTGCCCACGATCGTCGTTTCATGTTCTTCATCTTCGTCGTTTTCTTCGTGCTCCTCTGCAATTTCATTTTCGTCATCATTGCCTGCTTCAAATGCTTCGGGATCCAACATCGACAACTCATCAGCTTCTTCTGCGAGGTCGAGATCTTCCTCTAGGAGTTCAATATCCTCGAACTCTGGCTCACTGTTCTCAGCCTCAAGAGCATCAAGTGGAATAGATTCGTTCTCGGCCATGTTGAGTTCGTCTCGAATTCTCATCTCGTCCTCGAAGTAACTACTCTTAGCTGGGGAAGCAACAGCTGGAGAAGCTGCAGCCGTGCTCAAGTCGGCAAACACTTCATTCGCTGATACCTTTCGTGCGGGTGAGGCAGGGTCGGCGATTTCATCCTCGATTTCAGCAAATTTTTCAGGGCTTGCAGCCATCCAGTTACTGAGTTGTTTTGCTAAAGGAGTGAAACCAATCTTTTCCTGATTGAATCTACTTGAAGATCGCATCGCTGATTTAATTGTAGTCATTTTAGGAGTCTTGTTGATGTTACCAAGCCGGACTGGTGTTACAGGAGAAGAAGCGAAGTCGTTAGTAGAAACCTGAAAGTTGGCAAGCGGGGCGAGTGAACATTTTTTAGCCGCAGGAGCAAGCTCATCTTCTGAATCCGAGTTGTCGTCAGTCGGTTCTTTGCGGAGCTCAAATGAACTGCCAGTATTCTTACGAGGAGGCGAGCATGGCGGTGTAGTACTCTGAGCTTCGACAGTCTCGACTACTTCATTTGTATCTTCAGTGGCCACTGGGTCGTCGAATTCTTCTTGGACATCATCCACGACAAGTTCTACAGACTCGTCTATTTGAGGTGGAAGTTCAACCGCAGGTGACAAAGCTGGATCAGCAGAGCGCGGCATGATCGATGAGAGTCGACCGGAGAATTCTAGAACTGGAGTTGGCAAAGAGTTCGTCTCCTTCGAGATTGGACTGTCATTGGAAACATTGTTTTTGAGGGCGCTTGAAGGTATTGGAGGAAACATCGGACCAGGACGGATTGCGCTCTTCATGAGAGTTCTCGGGGTTTCAAATTTTGAAATCTTAAAGGTGCTGGCTTTTGGAGTGGCATCAAATATTGAAGCACCCTGATTGGTTCTGATTGGTGACCCAGCTTCATCGACTTTGGTAGGTGACTTTGGTCTTCGAGCTGGCGATTGAAGAAGAGATGCTTTGAAAGGAGATGCGGTTGTCGAAGGTTCTGGTGCAAACAAATTGGGTTTGAAAGGTGATCGCATGCTATGTCCAAATTCAAATCTTTGCGCATTTGATTTCAATGTCTCCTTGAAAGGTGACGACGATTGTGGTGGGCGTCGAGCAGGGCTTGTCAGTGTTGATGCATTGAAAATCTGGGTAGGTTCCATTGAAGGTTTATCAGCAAATGATGTAGGTATATCCAGTTTCTTCTCTGCAGTTTGTGGGGGTCGACGAGCTGGACTCATCATACTAGATGCATGGAAATCCAGTTTAGCTCCTTCTATAGGTTTTTGTGCTGCAAGGGATTTCGAGAAATCAATCTTTTTCGCAGTATCAAAGATACTTCCTGGTGGTTTGACAGGACTCTTCATCAATGATTTCATTGGAGTCTTTACTGTTGTCGATAATTCATCGTCTGACGACTGTTCCTTTTTCGCATTAACTTGTGTCGCTTTCTTCGGGCTTAACGGTAATGGTTTCTCTACCTTCTCGTCCTGGCCAGGCTTGGCTCTAGCACGAGTTGCACGAGTTGAAGCTGTTGCAGATGATACAGGCTTTCGAACCGGTTTTGCTCGCAGTCCTGAGGCTGTTTCTGTAGCCTTGGGCTTTGCTCGTGAGGACGGTAAAATATTCTCCTTGTCTGGTTCCTCAAACTTGACCCTCTTCTTCGGTCCCATGGCGCGTGAAAGCGTAGCAGAAGGAGCACGTGTGCGAGCGATTTTCGTTGCAGGTTCCTCGACCACAATTGATTCCGGTTCCGCCTGAGATGCATCTTTCCTTGGTCGACCTCTTGTAGGTTTGGGGGGTGGAGGGGCTGGCGCTTCGATTGTAGATTTCTTTGGTCGACCTCGAGTTGCTTTTACAGGAGCCATGGTTTCCTCTACCTCCGTTTCCACTTGTACATTGGCTTTCCTCGGTCGTCCGCGAGTGGGTTTTGATTCTGGCTTGGTCTCTTCTCCTAATTCGTCGTTTTGTTCTTCATCTTCTTCATCTGCTCTAGTCTTTCTCTTCGCACTTGTTGTAACGGTGGTGGCCTTAGCTGCTTTCGATACGGCAGGTGCGGTTTTGGAAGATTTGACTCCAGTATCTTTTGTTGACTTTGCGGCTGCCCTCGCGCGGGTAACACGTTTTGGTGGTGATGGATCCATGATTGTAAATTATTCGGCTTGTCGAGGTTAGTAAAAGTATGAATTGAATCTCTAGATAGAGTTACATTTGACGCGATTTAAAATAAATGTCAGTAAGTCTTGAAATTTAGCAAGAGGGAATGTTGATTTGATTCAGGAAGTAAGGTAAGGATTTCAAGCTAATGCAAGGATAATTATTGATAAACATTTTCACGGGTCTCACGTTGGCGGATCAACCGAACCTGGTCACGTGCCGAGAACAATCTTGAGCAACACGTCATCTCAAAATGTATTGTCTCGCTTCAACCTCGTGACCGAAGTCTTGCGTCTTGATTGAAGTCTTTCTTCTATGGCAACTTGATGATGTATACAAATCATTCTATATGGGCAGTATCGTATCTAATAAGTACAGGAGGTATTGGTTGAGCTTGGAAAGCAGTCTTACATTGGTCCATGGGCTGCCATTTCAAAGGGTGGGTTCAATAGTGGAATGGAGCATTTATCTCTCCCTGCAGCTGTTTTCTAATATCAGCAACACAACATTACAATCTATGAATTCTAATAACAGGATGAATATCAAATCAACATACAATATACTCGATCCTTTGCCATAAACCAATCTGCCCAGATATCAATATGAGGTTCTCGTACATCTTTGACACTTTGCACAAGGTAAGGCAGTTCCACAATTTCTCTTCGACCTGGATCATGCTATCTCATAGTGACCTCATCGACATCTACACGGGAAAATGCATGAAAATACAATTTTCAACAAAATAATGCAACTCATCAACTCACAAATCACGATTATACATGGTTTGATATTAGGGACTGGCCATTCTATTGTTTGTCCTCGGAAGAGTGTCACACGGCGCACAAATTGTTTTGCGCCACCAAGCAGCTGAATCGCGTCAAATAATTTCTAGAAGCAATAAGGTATTTTTTTTTTCAAGTGCAGTCAAAACTACCCTTCTGGTATTATCTCTCTCTCTCTCCCTTCCTCTTTCCTCTGCTTGGCATATCCTGCCATTAGACAAGAAGGAATGTCGAGCTTTTTCACTGCAGACCCAGCCGATCCTCCAAATCCTCGAGATGTCGTAGGCACCTATCGTCAAATCTTCGAAAATCGCGTGTTAGAAGGAACGCTTCGGCCTATGGTGGTACCATATAATCTCTACGGTTTTATACTACTGGGAATTTATCTCTGTGTGCGGCATACAAATCGACCATTATTATACAAGGCGCGGTGGATTGTGCTGGCTGCTATAACATGGTTTCAGCTCAAAACACTATGGCACACCAGCAGCACGAACATGGCAATCAGTTTCGTGGCAGGCTTGATGAGTGTTTATGGTATTGTTACAAGTTTGACCTGGTTGTTATTTATGCGGCCACAGTTTGATGCTAAGAGGATTGAGAGAAGGAAGATTCAGGAAAACAAAATCATCGCAAAGGATAACAAGCAGAGAACTACAGCACATGGAGAGGGCATGAAGTTACATGTAAGGCAGCGCAATAGAGTAGATGGAGAAGAAAACAAACTTTCCTCTGGCTCAAAGGCACCAAACGGCAAAGATATAGGGGCGCTTCATGGTCAGCCGGCGGCAAATGAGACAACGGAATCTCAGTACTATTGGCAATCATACCCAGATGACATTTGGGAGAGATTGGACTGGATATCCGACTTAATTATCAATTTTCGTGGACCTGGTTGGAGCTGGGCAATTCCCAATATACCAAAGCCTCTCCCATCCGTCTACAACAAATTAGGAGAACCTGCAGATGAAGCAGCGAAACATGATATATCTAGAACAGGAATCCAGCGCTTTAACACAAGAAATGAACTCTTCAGGGCTCAAGTTCCCCGCTTCATTATTGGATATTTCTTACTTGACGTCGTCAAAACTATCATGATGAATGATGCATATTTTTGGCTTGGTCCCAACAATTATGCTATGCCTCCACATGTTGCAGTAATGCCTCCAATCCTACGCTCTCTATATCGTGAGCTTTTATCAATGGCTGGGGTACTCATTTCTTTAGACATGGTATTTCTTTTGGCCCCTATAGTAGGATGTATACTTCTCGGCCCATCCTCATTCATGGGTCTCAGGGGTGAAGCATGGTACTACCCCACCACATGGGGTTCTTTTTCGGTCATTGCAAATAAAGGCCTTGCCGGGCTGTGGGGAGGTGCTTGGCATCAAATATTCCGTCTCATATTCTCCTCACCAACAAACTATTTGATCACAAATGGATATTTAGATGCCAAGTCCTCAACTACAAAGCTCATCGCTTCGGTCTTTGCCTTTGGTATATCTGGAATCTTGCATGCTGGCGGTAGTATATCTCAAATTCCTGAAACAAGACCATGGAATCCACCTAAATTTTTCATGCTGCAAGCTGTTGGGATTTTTCTGCAAACTGGCATTTGTGCCGTCTTGTCTCAGTACATCAAGAATACCCCGAAGCCAATGAGGCAAGCAATGAATGTAATCTATGCATTATCATGGGGTCTACTGACTGGATGGTTTATAGCGGATGACTTTGCTCGGGGTGGGATTTGGCTTTATGAACCCATTCCCATTTCATTACTTAGAGGTTTAGGATTTGCTGGTAAAGATCATGGGTGGTGGTGTTGGGAGCATGTAGGACTTGGATGGTATACTGGAAAGCATTGGTGGGAGAGTGGTATTTCAATATGAGGTGGTTAGAATTTATGATTTACGAATATTATACAATATGGCAGCATGGAGTCTGAGAATTGGAGTCGACCATGCTTGAGTAAAAAAAAATCGTGCATTGGGCGAGAGACAGACGACATAGGGGAAGCAGGATTTCACTGATCCAAAGCGCAGTCTAAGGATGACGAGTTATTGAGTCTCTTCGGTGCATCAATCCTCTTCGTAGCTTTTATCATGTTCAAGAGTCTACGGCCTTTTGAATATCAAACGCTTTCGAACCTGCACTACAGTCCAGATTTAAGAGAACTTAAGGAGGTGTACGTAGAGGGATTGGGAAAGCCAAGTAATACTAATGATATTGTTATTCGAATCTATAGCTTCATCATTCGTATTGCTAACTGAATTCACATTATCTCTTCTTCCTTCCATCCAGCAATAGACATTCATTTCACGTGTAGTGGATTTGCATCGATTATGAAATCACAACAAACACAGACCCCTTCTTGAGAGCACCTCAAAAAATGATGCTGACATCTTGTCATGTCATTACTTCTCATGAATTCGCCTACAAAGGTTAAAATCTCAGCCCCAACCTGTCAACATTGACTGAACAGAGAACCGCGCGGACTTTGATTGAAGTTCCAAATCCATATTCAAACTTTAAGGTCCCGGATGAAAGGGCAGGAAAGCAATCCATCAGCTAAGTACACTATCCCATCCCCACGAAAAGGCCAAGCTCCCCATCCCCACAATCTGCCGAGTAGAAGCACACGCGGCATGAATTTCGTTCGCGTTTGGCTGTGCATGCATGTGTGTGTATGCTTGGCCACGGCAACCTCTCATATGTCTTTGCTATCTTATCTCGCCTACACCCCCGACCATGATCAACACTAATTTAATCAAGCCCCAACATGCTTGGTAAGTGTCTTTCCCAACCATAATTTGTCGATAAGTATTGCTCACGCTCGGTACTAATCTACTTACATTCATCTAAGTCATGTCAACGTCCCGCTTTCGTATTGACTGACCGACTCTCACTAGCCAAGAAGGTACTAAGTAGCGTACACACGATTAGATACGTGAATTCTACTCGCTTCAGAGCTGAGCATGCGATGTTTAGTTTCTGGGGTAGCGACGTGTGAAGGTGGACGGGTGGTGGAGTGCCAGGTTTTAGTCCAACGCAAACCCCGCGTTTTCGCTTCCCCAAATTATTTCAATTCTAGATTTTGTTGGAAGATGGGGGAGGTGGAAACCGGAGTTATAAAGTATTCCGTATCCCCCGTCTAAAGATGAGCATTATTTTTCTTTATCGATTGATCTGGAATTGGATTGTTTTTCCTTCGATTTTGATATAGAATACTACCTCATTTTGCATTATGGGACCTCAAAATATTAATGCTGAGGAGAGAGCGATTGGTGTGGAGTCGAGAGATGAGAAACCTGGTGTCTTTCATGATGAGCATTCGGAGCATCTAAATAAGGGTGCTCATGCAATTGCAGAGAGAGGTAATGCAGCGACTGATAGGTTAGTAGTCTGAGATGTTTCTTGTCGCACGAAATCGTTGCTTATTCGGATTATAGCCATGGCCAGTCACTTGTTACATTTGATCCCGTTGCGGAAAGAAAGTTGAGATTGAAGATTGATTTGATGATTGTTCCCACCGTGGCATTATTATACCTATTCTGTTTTATCGACCGAGCAAATATTGGTGAGTTAGAACACTTCTCTGTTCACATCGGACGATACTAATAACGATATTCAAGGCAATGCAAAATTAGCAGGACTTGAGAAGGATCTAAACATGACGGGATACGACTATAACAAAGTCTTATCTATCTTCTATATCTCATATATCATCTTCGAAATCCCGGCCAATATGGCTTGCAAATGGATGGGCCCAGGATGGTTCATCCCAGGAACTTCGTTAGCCTTTGGAATTTGCTCTATTGCCACTGCATTCGTGCACAACATCCACGCGATCTCAGGCGTTCGTTTCCTCTTAGGTATTTTTGAGGCAGGCATGCTGCCTGGTATCGCATACTATCTTTCCCGTTGGTATCGCCGATCTGAATTGGCTTTCCGTCTATCGTTGTATATTGTCATGGCCCCATTGGCTGGTGCATTCGGAGGTTTGCTCGCCTCGGGGATTCTAAAACTTCCCGGCTTCGGCTCACTTCACACTTGGCGAATGCTTTTCGCCATTGAAGGTATCATTACCTGTTGTCTCTCACTCATTGCTTTCATCACCCTGACCGATCGCCCTGCCACCGCGAAATGGCTCACACAAGAAGAGAAAGACCTCGCGATCGCTCGTGTTAAATCCGAGAGAGTTGGAGCTACCGAAGTCCTAGATGCTTTCGACACTAAAAAGGTCCTCCGCGGTATCTTCAGTCCAGTAACCATCGCGACATCCTTCATTTTCCTCCTCAACAACATCACCGTCCAAGGTCTTGCTTTTTTCGCCCCCACAATCGTGAGGACTATTTACCCCACAGCCACCGTTGTCTCTCAACAACTACACACTGTCCCACCTTACATTGTCGGTGCATTCTTTACAGTTCTTTTCCCATTCCTCAGCTGGCGCTTCGATCGACGCAACATCTTTTTGATCGCAAGCGCTCCCTTGATGATGTGCGGCTACATCATGTTCCTCGCCACCAGCGATGCGCAAACCCGCTACGGAGCCACTTTCCTCATCGCCAGCGGAGCCTTCTCTTTCGGCGCACTGTGCAATGCTCAAGTTGCTGCTAATGTAGTCTCTGATACTGCACGCTCCAGCGCAATCGGTACTACTGTCATGATGGGTAACATTGGTGGTCTCGTTTCCACGTGGTCATTTTTGCCGACTGACGCGCCGAATTACCATATTGGAAATGGACTCAATCTTGCGACTGGAACGACGATATTGATTTTGTCGATTGCATTGCTCTTCTGGATGAAGATGGATAATAAGAAGCGAGAAGCGAGAGATGTGGATGCGGAGTTGGATGGTTTGAGTCAAAAGCAAATCCAGGATTTGGATTGGAGACATCCGGGATTCAAGTGGAAGCCTTAATTAGTTTGGAGGGAAATTTGGTTGGCTTCTTGTATTTTTTCATTATTAGCCAGGGTGTTCTTGATTACACTGTAGTAGATGACCAATCACGAATTTTATTTATATTTTGAAATGAAATGCGAAAGGTAAGGTGCTAAATGGTAAACGACACAATGAACATTCATATGGAAGAGGTTGTACAAAAGATCATGACTTTTAGCGTTCAGAACAAGAACCAAGGACGAAGCGACTTAGCGGGCGCTCGGCGTGTCAAACTGACATATGGTATTTGATTTGTGGGCTACAAGACTTCGGAATGTATCAATTCAACAATTATACATGACGGGCATACTGATACATGGATACAAGAAAGAGAAGCGACAGTTCTTTCGGGATAAGAACGAATGTAATGATTATCTATTCAGGTACCGATCTGTGTTCTTCGCAACAGTTGAGAATAATGCAGATCCTCAGATAACAAAAACAAAAACTCCGATCTATACTACTGATAAATCCAAATAACATCAAAGAAATATGAAGGAATGGCCAAAATACGAGAAAATTAAACCCCGACCAAAACAAACTTCCATCAGCCCACAAAAATATTCATCTATCATCCGTCTATCAAGTGACTAGCGAGATAGAAACGATGATGGCACTCCAAATCTCAACCTGCCAAGTTATCGGCGGGAGGAAAGGAATCTGGGTATTGATCCATATATTTCGCTCTACTGTAGTAAGAAATAACCATTTGAAGGCCGCATTGTTGAAGACAACTATATGCTCATTAACAAACACTCTTCTATACTTCCTGCAGATATAATATCTGCATAGCCACAAGAGGAAAACATCAAACTTACTATTGAACGCGATAGCTCATGGTATCGCCAGTCGCAGCCGCAAGTCTCGTTCCACAAAGCGCCATGCAATTGTACTTTCGAAATGTCAGTTTTTGTGAATCTGTTGATTGGCATGTTTGCTGGGATTTCATATGCATACCAATGCCTCGTAATTTGTGAGACGTTTTTCTACTTCAGATAGTTCTCGAGAAGTCAAGCCTCTTGATGATGGTCAGTATTGTATTTGATATGCATTGTGTTGATGCGATACTTACTGCTTGGCCATCCAATCTTGGTAGTCGGCTAGACTGGATACTCCAGATTCATCGCGCTTCACGGATGAAGGTTTGATGCTGGAATATACGGTTCCGTGTTCGTTGGTGCTGATTGCGTACCATTCAGAATCTTGTCGTTTCTCGGTGGGTTTGATGGTGGAATAAACGGTACCGAGCTCGTTTTCACCGATAGAGTAATAGGTAGAGGTGTCTCGTCGAGTTTCCTCGGTAGGTAATGTGAGAGCAGTTACACTGCTGATTAGCAGGAGTGGAATGAACAAGAGTGTCTTCATGATTGCTACTAATCTGAAGAGTAACTGGTAGGGCAAAAGATGATATTTGTCTGTTTTAGACGTTTGGCTTGTGTTGTTGATGCACAAGAAGAAGATGTTCGATATGAAAGCGCAGCACGGCAGTTATATACCCTTTGTTTGTTTGGGAATCTCTGTTTTGGTGTGTGTCTTCCCGCTGATAACACTTCATATGACAGAATTGTAGAGGCAGTAGTAGGATTGTTCGGTTCTCAAGAGCCTGATCATAAAACTGGGATTATTGACCTCGCTGATCTGCTCGATAATCATGAACGAGCAGCCAACGACGACTGTCACACTGCCACCATTGTTTCAATTCCTTCCATCCTCATCAGCTCTACTAGTTGTTGGGGATAGATGGCGTGATGCGAGTAGTGCTATGTGTACGGAAATAACGTCAACTCCACGAATCTAAGCATGGCATCTTCGGATTGTTTGAAACTCCAACATCGTATGAGCCATTCAAGTTGTAACTGTTGTATAATGTATTAGAATAGACGATCCTGTAGTGATGGTGCCGCATGTGCCTTTCGTTTCTCGGTCGGCTTACTACGATGGAACGAATTAAATCCTCCACATAATGAGATTCAGTAGACTTTTGCAAATGTTACCAAAACTTTGCCTCCTTGATCAACATTCAAGGGCGTCCCGAGCCCAGGGTAGGATTGCACGAGTTTGAGACTATTTTGTTGACACTCCGACCCCTCGTGATCGATTTATGTCAACACTCAGCTTCTATTCAATATGCAAACCATTGTGGGCCCCATTGAACTGAATTATAGAGATCCCTACAGCAGGATCTCCTCATATTGTGCGAGTATAGTTATACCAACATAAAATGCTTGAATATATGAGTATCACACACGAGTCAGGGGGATTCTCGAGACTTTGGCCAACTAAACCTTCTGCTGCCTTCGATGAAATTAGAACAACAAAGAATGCATAGCCTCCATCCTCGAAATTATCGAGGACACCCCAAGTCGAGATTCATCTTTCGGGATTAAGTCACCATGCCATCATCGAAGACTGTAAAGCATGAGACGATATCATCCTTTGCGGCTAGAAGGTCTATAAAACACTCCCCAAGACCCCTCAGATCTATCCTCATCAATACCATCTTCGACAATAAATACTTCCTACAAATACCGCAAATTCAACTCATCGAGCTACACTTTGCCTTTTCATTTTCAATCAAATCATCCCATCAATCATCATGCAATTCCTCAGCATCATAACTATTTTCTCCTTCACCACAGGAATCTATGCTGGCTGCTACACCAGTGGCATCTCCGGCAGCGCAGTCAATATAAATTCTTATTTAGGAACCATCTGTAACGGACTCTCTGGAAAATATGTCAAGAATGAGCAGCGACACCAATGCGTCATGGATAGCGCTAGTGTCCAATGGGACTTTACCCTCAAGGTATTTCCGTCTCTCCAAACGTGATATTCATGCAATTCTAAAGGAAACTAGTATATTGGATCCGATTCTTCCAGGAACATCGGTTCAACTGAGTGCATCAGTGGCATGCAGAAAGAAACCGCATGCGGCAAGGGTGGATCTTCTTCCTATTCGAACTGGGCGTATACGTAAGTGTTCTCATGTTCTTTTTGCTTTGGCGAGAAGAATAAGAGGATGGGGCTATGGCTAACGAGGTGCTAGCGCCGATCCAAATGCCGGTTCTTGCTATTCGATCTCAAAATAATTGGGTCTGGATCTCGAACGTGTCATCAATTGCTAAAGATAGCTCCCACACTTGTGTTGATGGTGGCTAAGTATGAACGGTCCAAGATGTTGGCACGTGGTGGTTGGCGTCAGATATTGTGAAGTCTTTACTTGTCTTGCGATGTTATTGTTCTCATTGGATTGCTTTAAGTTACACAATCGTTTAGTCCATCTTTGTATTCTTGGTTTTCTGTTTTGATGCTTGTATATCGTAGGTTCGCTGGAATCAAATTGTTTTTTATCTTAACATACTCTCTTCCGATATTCAACTTTGAATTTCGTGATATTTACTGCTTCTGTCTGATACTGTAGGTACAGGGGAGCGATACCATATTATTGGATGACTAGGTACTCGCCTAATTCTTCATCTGTAACAACAACAGTTGGTGGCACGGAAATGTACGCGATTGGTGTCAGCATCAGCACGACAGGGGAGTTCATCGAGTGGCTATGGGCCACAGCCTAGTGCTATTGTGTAGTTGATAACTGAGACTCCCCCCATTCCACATCTACTCTTCTTTATACTCAACTTTCAATCTTCAGTTCAAGATGTCCGAACAACTTAGCCAGGTCACCGACACAAATATCACCAGCGAAGCCCGGAAAATTGATGACTATAGCGAATACAGCTGGAGCATCATATCCGAAGTCACAGTTTGTACCCCTGATCCATCTTTCAAATCACACATCTAATAGTATCCCCAGGCACGACTACAAGGCACACTCTATGCCAAACTATGGCGGACTAGCATGGAGAAATTCTCAGTCACTCGCTCGATCTCCGATACACAAAAGGAACTTGGAGAATTAGTTGCCAATGCACCACTTCCACCGGATTTGCTCAAGTCTAGGATTGAACCTTTTCTCAGTATGCCTACCAGTACGCAAGATGAATGCGATGCTGCTCGGCTTAGGCTTCATGCTATTCTTGACACGCCTTGTTATAAGTTTCCTCCCGACTACCCAACGACTTGTGAAATGGAGGTTTTTAGAGAGAATCTAAAGGTAAGAGATTATATTCCTAGTATTTTGTTGTGTTATATTAATTCTTATCGACAGAAGCTCTTGGGACCAGAAAAAGAAAATCAGTTCTGGAAAATCTACAATGGATTTCCAGGAAATAAAGGAGCTAATACAAAGGAGAGTAATGTAGCAAGACAAGAATTGCTAGAGTTGTTAGGAGAGAACGATGAACTTCTTGAAGTATTCAAGAGAAATTGGCCAGCTGGGAACTGGGAGATTCGCTTTATACCGAGTGGAAGTTATGGTGATGGGTTGTAGGTTTGAGGGCTAGACTTTTTGGATTTGGAGCCCCCAGAGTGATCAATGTGAAGCTTAGAGAAAGACATTTCTAGTTTGCTGTAATGAAACATGGATTTGAAGAGTTTCTGGCGTCAGTCATTTTCTTCGAGTACAACATAAGCACGAATCAAACGAGAATTTCAAATTTCGAGCTGAGCCAGCATCTAAATATCTATTTGCCCAAGGTGTTGTATCAAATTTCTATTGATATCTAAATTCGAAAAACCAAAATGTAATTCGATATTCAAATGACATTTCACCTTTGTTGCTCTTCTCCTCAAAAGCCAGAACCTTACAAAATAAGAGTTGAGGCCCCGGCTTATCACACACTAAGCGAAAACACAGCAAAAACCTTCATTTATTCAACTTTTTAATTATATAAAATTTCGATAAATATATAGATTGAATTATTCAAATTGAGAAATATAATAAACAATTATCAAAATTATTTTAAAAAATGAATAGATTATTTTTATAATTTTTTTGGAAAGAGTTGTAGGAGTTTAAAGTTAGAATTTTCAAAATTTTCAAAAAAATCGATTTTTTTGTATAGGAAAAGTATTACATATAATAAATTTCGAAAATTTTCAACTTCAAGATCCTATAATTTCTTTCAAAAAAATATTAAAAATAATCTGTTTTATTTTTAAAATTACATATATATTAAACTCTTATATATAAAATTTTGAAATTATTACTTCAATTATCAAATAAATTATCAGAGAAATTAGTTTATATAGGAAAACGATTTTTTTGCAAGGATTTTGTTACGAAAAAGGGTAGTGTGCGATAAGCCGGGGCCTCAACTCTTACATAGAATACGAGAAGTAGAGTTCAAGAATAACCAAAACTTGAACTAGGCTACCAAATCATTCATTAAGGACCTTGTAGAAAATAGTCCCTATCTTTTGACCATCTTTTCAATCCTCACAACCTTTGAATCCCAGTACCACATGAACATCATATCTCACATAACATCCACTCGCAATCTGCCTCTCCACCTCCCTCTCCAATCTAATCAGCTCCTCAGCAGACAACGAACCGGCCAAATTCCTCGACGAAACCAACCTCGCCCACCCAAAAATAGCATCCATCGCATTCCTCGCCATAGCCGCTCTCGTCTCTACGATCCGATCCGAACTAACAATATCCTCCACCACATCTCCCATCCCAAACTCCTCATAGATCCGAGGAAGAATATTCCATCCATACGAGAAGTTATCCTTCATTGCCTCTTTAAAGCGTGCGCACATCGACCGAGCAGCTTGCACGGATAATTCAATGTCAGAATGGTAATATTGGGTTTCCATCCAATTGCATTCTTTCCACTGGATAGCTCCGCCGGGCTTGAGAAGCTTAAGGAGATTCTGTACGATGGGTTTCCATTCTGTCGGGTTTATTCCTGAGGCGAGGAGCCGAATGTGAATGAGATCGTATTTGTTGTGTTTGGATGAAGGCGGAGTCTATTTGATGTTCATGACGCTTAGAGAAACTTGCGGGGACAATGTCTCTTGCGATGGAAACAAGTTTGGGAATACATCGAAGCCGTGAAGAATTGCATCGGGGTAGTCCTGTGCAAGTTGGGATAGAAAGATTCCTGTGCCAGTGCCGATATCTGCTATTGTAGGCCAGGAGGTAGTTTGGCGGCAATGGAGGGATGGATAAAATACCCAATGTTTCTGGAAAATTGAGTCAATGATCAAGCAAATACTTTTGGAGATTTGTGAGTGCAGAGAGATACTTCCGTACCGACTCAGGAGTTCAAATTGCTCGTTTAGTCTTTACATAATGTTAGTAGTCTATGATTCTTGTTTAAGGAGGAAGTCTCGAGAAATTGCTGACCTGCGAGACTCGGATTTATTTTGTCTCATGTCTTCAGCGTAGATATCAGACATTATTGATGCATAAAAAGAGCAAGAAATTAGAACTGCTAGATCTATGATTGAGAGAAGAATTATTGAATAAAGAAATTCAAGAAACACATAAGGAGATACGAACTTATCTTTCCCTTCCAACCGTTGGTACGCGGATCAATAGAGCACTTATCCAACTCCCAACTTTTAGACTCAATAATTAACTCAACTGATTCTCCACAGTATCTATTGCCACTCGACATATTGTACAAATTTGCGCGATTTGAAGCAAAGTCCCGCATTATCAAATATCTACATCTCAAACTTTATATCGCAAACAAAAATCACACAAAAAAACAGCACAGCAAATTCTCGTTCAGGGGAAAAAGTTCATATACAGCCATCCTTCATTCAATTTTCTAAATACAACTAACTAACTATTAAACACAAAATGCCTCCGTCATTATATAAATGAAATGAATGTCCAGATTCATATTCCTTTCAACTATTATTCAATTCTTTTCCATCCATCCATCCATCCATCTTTTTTTCTGTTTACCATTGACTTTTCCGATCCTCTGTCTTGCCAACACCAGATTGCTTCTCAAAATCGCGAAGAAAAAAAAAAAAGAAAAGTAAAGATAGGACAAGTAAAATAATCAATCTAGTAAAGGAAAGACAAACTCCATGACAATGCTGGCTTCCTAAAAGGAGATTGCTCTCGGAGTATTCGTTGAAAGAAGGAGATAAGGAAGAAATGGAAAATGAGACATTCGACTGATCTAAACGAAAAACAGGAGAAAAGAAAGAAACATTGAAGAATACATCTCCATACAACAAAGTAAATCTCGCCCGAACTCCGCTATTCACAGAAGGTATTCATTCATAAAAGTCATCATCAAATCAAAATGTGGTATCAAACCCCGCCCATCCATCCATCCATCAAACAAGTCATCAAGTCATAATCCACCAAGCCCTAAATCATATTCCCATTAACATTAACCTCATACCCCTCGCTCTTCTGTTTCAACGCCTTAGCCAACATCAACTCTCTCATCCAATCAATCCTCTCATCTCTACTCCTCACCGCAAAATAATGCGTTTTATTATTCGCTCCTGCATTGCCCATGCCACTCGGCATCAAACTATCTCTCTTTCTCAATTTCACACCCTTTTCAATCGCCTGCGGAATCAATTGGAAAGCAAAAACGTCAACTTTCTTATCTCGATCATTTCCACGTCCCATCGCAATATTCACTCGTTTAAACGCTGCGTTGAGTTTAGAAGAGGAGGCTAAAGATGAACACGCAATGGCGTAGTCGTCAACATCGATGCATTCTAAAACATCGAGCGCACGAGCATCTTTGTGCATGGCGAGAGTGGTGCCGCGGAGTGTGAAGTGGTGTTCGTGCCATTCGTGGCGAAGCATCTTGGTGCGGCGCTTTTTCATCCAGCCAGCATAGGAAGGTGTGTCTTTCTCTGGGGAGGAGGTGTTGGAGGATGATGTAGAGGAGGAGTGGGGTGGAAGGGGTATTGATGTGGTGCTGTGAGATGGATTGGGATTTGGACCGCCGAACTGAGCCCACGGGTCGGTTGTAGAGTAGGCACGGATAGAGGTTGCGATACCCACTGGGTGCGTGGGATCTCTGATGGTGTTTGAACTTTCTGGAAATGTGTGGGCTGGTTCATTGGGAAGAATCTGGACCTGAGCTGGCTGTGAAGGCTGGGTTGACTGAGTGGCTCGATATTCATCAACTCGGGGAAGAAGAGAGGGACGACGATTAGAGATACGAGAGAGACTGCGTTGAAGAGAGTTGGCCATCGAGTTGTTGGTAGATGTGTTGGTGTTTGGGCGGTAGGTCATATTGGGTGGAACGGACTGAGAAGCCTCTCTTGCGACAGGACTCATAGGTACAGCGGTAACCGGCACATCCATCTCGGAAAAGGGAGTACCAAATCGATAGACCGAAGGAGAGCGGGTTTCGTTGCGGAGCTCTGGAGAGAGAGCTTCTGCGCGGTCCATGTGATAAGGTGAAAATGCGATAGCGCTGTTTGGAACGGCGGTTGCGCTGCAAGGACCATATCCATTGGCACTCTGGGATCTGATGGGCTGTTCAGGACGAGGTGGAGGAATAGAAAGTTTAGGCAAGCCCCTGAGACCTGCAATAGGTCCTTTTAGTGGCGGGAACATTTCATATGGAGGAGTTGGAGGTTGTTCGGATGATTGGTTCGGTGCGAGATGCTGGAATCTGATGAATTGCTTCACATTATCTTGAGGATCACGCAATCCAACATTTTTAAGGTTCTCCTCTTCTAAATAACGAAGAGCAGGAGTAGAGCCAGGACCAAGAACATCTGAAGATGCAACAACTGAAGGCACTGCATCAGAGATTGGACGAGCTGTGAGAGCATTTCCTGGATCTCCAGCAATAAGTAGCGAGCCACCTTCTATTTAACTATTAGTATTAAACTCAAATATTCTGTCGCAAATCGAAAACGTACCTTCGGGACTGATCGGATGATCCTTATTGAAAGCAGCAATCAATCGTTGTTGTTTCCTCCACTTCGAGCAATTTTCTCCCTTTGAGCATTTGTGTGGTTTCGGCATAAGTTGTTCGATACCCACAATTGAAATAGATTCCAAAGGCAAAACAGTCTCGTGTTTATTCCCTCTCTTTGAAGCCTTGCGCCTTCGAGATTGACCTCGCTCTTGACCATTCGACCAATTCTCTTGTCTACCTCTTTCTGATCTATCTCTTATCATACGGAATTCCGTGGCTGGAGAAGTTTCTTCGATGGGGGTAATTGGCTTAGGTGTACTTGGAGCACTTCCTCGCAAGATGTGAATCTCGTTCCAAACTTTTGTTCGTTGTCCAAATGATGAGATACCCAGTTCTCGGAGATCCTCAAACTTAAGAGTGGTCAGAATCGCACCCGAGATGTCATTTTCTTCGAATTTCTCAACAATCGACCATTCGAAACCTGCATCATGCATCCATCTTGCGACTTGGCGTGGTGTCCAGTGAGTGATATCATTCAGGTTCAGATCCGCGATGTTTTCGGTCAAGAGAGATAATCTCTGGCGCCTCGTAGGACTATCTGGTGAGACTGGAGTAGGCGGGCTGACTTGGTGTCGCGGTGTGAGCATCGATGGCTGTGGACTTATTGGTGACATTTCCAAAACATATTGATCCGGGATATCCAGCGACGAGGAAACAGAGCTGCGGAACAAATGTGGTCCCCGAGGTCCTTCGACCGGTTTTTTCGGACCCAAGTCGAAATTGAAGGATTGGAATTCATTTGAGGCCGATGTGGGTGTAAATACTTCTTCGTAGGAGGATAATGTTGTTTCACTCGCTCGACCTCCCTGAATAGTGACATGTCAGTACGAGAGACAAAAAGAATGAAACGTGGTACATACTGATCTATAACTTAGACGTGGGTAGTCCAAGTCTTCCTCGAAATCCGATCCATATGCGGCCTCTTCTACATATCGTGGAGTATCTTGGTGATCTTCGAATTCCTCAACATCACTTACGTCATCCTCGAAGTCGGTATCGAATACAGTTGCGGATGATAAAGGTCGCTCAGGACGATGCTGTGTTTCTTTGAATCCGAGAAGAGCATCCCGGGGTTGATTTGCGAAACCCCTTTGGTACATGTCCAGCCGAGTGTCGATGGCTGTTAGAGGGGTTGTAGCCTACATTCATCGTAGGATTAGTATGATACTTCAATATACATGAGCATATTACTGGCATAGCCTCATCAACTCACCATACTGCCTAGTACAAAGGCGGGAATAACAATTGATAACTCGGGCGGTACAAGAATACTTGCAAGACTGCTTGCTTGCCCGTTGCCGGGGGTATCTTCTATGAGCCGAAACAAGTCCAGATGAAATCTTATGAACCGCGATAACGATAAAGCAAATTTGGAGCAAGAATCAAATTCAATCTGACATGAATGAATCGTAAAATTTCAAAAGGATCAGAAGGAGGAGTCGGGGTTATAGTCAACGGCGTCTAGGACAGTATATGTATCGCCATTTTTGAAACGAAACGATATATCATGGGCCTCAAATATATCAGAGCTCACCAATGGGCAGTATAACGTCCCGGCATATTTTCTATAATGTGAACTGTGCTCAGCATTCCTGCATGAAGATTGTGACTATTCTTGAGAAATAATGCCACACAATGCCACAAGGCCCTCGTTTGTTTCCCTTGAGCCATTGAGACGATCGGGTTGCGAGCCTTGCGACCCTACATCGCAGGAAACTTAGACCCAATAAGGAGATTCTGTTAGGGTAAGCATGCAGAATACTCACATCCACGCATCTCTCACGCAGGACAAATGAAGTGAAAAATAGAAGACGTTCCAATAATATTCAAGCTTGGTCAGATGGATCCTGCAGAAAAAATCCATGATTGGTTGTGAATGGTCGGATAGTTCTGCATCTACGCGCCGAGTCACATCTTTCTTCGTTTATCCTGGCTAACGCACACAATTCGTCAATTGATTCGTTTGATTCGTCCATTGAAGGATGATTTGCCTACTCTGTATGATTGCTCATGATTTGACCGAGGATGCCCAGAGAAAGTCTGCAAATCCAGACCCTTTGTTTTTTTCACATCATCCCGCCTTTTTCATCGGGCTATCGGGCACCGGCTTGTGTACCTAAGTATCTAGTCCCGAGACTAGAAGAAAATCATTTTAGTCCATAAGGCCAATAAGCTATAGAGAATGCCTTCTATTATCAATATATCGAGCATCAAAACTACCTGTGTTGAGTGAGAACTATATTTAAGTGGAAAATTCTCCAGTCTCGTTTAGACTTCTACGGTGCGGTCCGTTGATGAAGGGGTAATTGCTCCAAGTAAAATGAAATTTCAAGGTTGAAGCTTGTTGAAATACTTCAAAAATGTTGTAAAATAATTGGAACCGCTGGTCTAAGATATTACAAGCATGAACACTCACATCAGCAACGGAACTGCAAGAAATTTGTACGTACGGATTTTCGGCATTGTTGGAAGTTGTTGGTT